ATTATATTCGTGTCCTCCTTCCAGCATAAGTCCCGCCGTGATGCACCCATTTGTAGGTTTTAAATGATGAGCCTGAAATAACAGAATAACCAAAGGTAACTTTTAGACATTAGCACCTACTTTAACACACGTGTCTACAGTTTCCTCGGCCATATGCCTGTACGTTGTCCATTTTCCTCCTGCTATGGTCACCAAGCCGGACTTCGATACCTGGAGACAATAACAGTTGCGATCTCTCATTCCGAAGGAATGTAATTCCTTTACCTCAATGATATGATTTCTAGCCAAACTTTTGGTATCCTTCTTGTTTGGATCTCGAACAAGTGGACGAAGTCCTGCCCATGAACTCATCACGTCACCACGGCGTATGGAAACGTCTTTAGAAAGGTATCCTCGAATTTCCTGAACATATTTGTGTCCTTGAAGAGTCGTCCTTGAACTCTATTTATACTTACTTGCAAAATAAATTCAACATCAGAATCTTTCGGGATTGGGGATAGAGTTACTTCCGAAGGGGCGTCAGTGGTACCCGCTATGGTCATTCGTTCCCAAGGTAAGAAGAAAATAACGCGACCATCAGAGGTGTCTGGATCGAGAAGTCCGGTGTTTGAGGGACTAAATAGGTTTTGTTTCAATTCCCTGAAGTTTGAGGAAGGAAGATAAAACCATTAATTTTCTTGTATCAGCTTTCTAAGAATAATCTTTCGATAATATTAAATATTAGGAAATTATAATAACCTGTAATATCCAGGAAGAACGATATGCACTCCCGAGCTAGGCACACAGATTGGTTTCGTCTGTGGATCAGCCATGATACGGATCGTATCTGTTGAAGGACCAGTGGCGTTTACAATGACCTTAGCTTTGATATCCCACTCGTTCCCATTTATCTGAGAAACTTCTTGAGTTGTTGTGCGCTAACCTAAGATCAAATCCAAACCCACCGTGTCCCTAACATGGGCTCCAATAACTTTTCCATTTTCATCCTTAAGTAGACTTTCAACTTTGGTGTGATTCACGCACTGAAATTTGCGTTTCCGGTACAGTAGATAAGATTTGCAAAATTCAGAAAAGCAACTCGTGAGAATGGCAAATTAAAACGCAATTGGAAAAAAAAAACAAAGTAAGTCTTATGTTGAAGAAAAAAATTCTATTGAGTTCAGCAAATTAGCTAAAGTGCGTGAGATGGAAATGCGCGATCGAACCATATACACCTGCACTATACTGCTAATATTATTTAAGAATCATAAAAAAGCAAAATTAATGTTTAGAAGGCTCTTCTTCTACTAAAGCTAGTGTAGCACAAGTAGGTGACAATACATGTTCCAATTCTAACATTCATTAGAAGGAAGTTAAAGCCAATTACGAAAGGATTTTTAACTTCTGCGAAGTAAGAGTATCAGGATTTCAAGATTCCTATAATGAAGTGTAAAAAGCAACTTGCATTATCGCATTTTATACCTTTTGCAGCTGCAAAACAGGAAGGC